CGTGGTTTATGAAGGAACCGATCTACCTGAACTCCAAGAAGATTCGAATCCAATAAAAGACGTCGGACTCAGGGGTGAAGTCATAACTGGAGAAGAGACTGAATCAGAGAACGACTTGATAAGATACAGTAACTACATGTCAGGAGCAGGATCCACGTTTGGGGGTTTCATGGCTGAACTTCCTGAAGACATCAATGATATAACGACAGGTATGAAAAAAGCCTTAGTTTTGCAATTGGTAAGAGCGTAAATTACAATTTTTAACTGGGTCTTTCAGTATATAAGACAGAAATAAAGCAAGGAAGCACGCTCTATCAAATTCCGTCCGCATGTGCATCGAGAGCAGTGGCAGCCATGAACAGCTGATTCAAGTCAGAACTTATCAGCATGATGTTACCCTAGGAGTAAGGGTCTCACTCGTGATCACATGACTCCGTCATTTACCGCCGAGGTTAATGCAAAATCACCAGCCTCAACGTATCACAGAGACCCTTTAACCTGGAGCTATGACATGCCAATAACAAGGACGAAACATCTATCCATGGCTGCCACTGCAACGGTATGCCTGTGCGAATGCGTAAGGAAATGGCCAGGGTTGGTAGTGTGGGGCCTGCTTTATTGCTTAATTTGGGTCTTTCATTACATGTTTAAAGCTTGCATTACTCAGTTCTAGTTCTTTCTTTTGCTAGGAACGATGGACTCTTTAAATTTCAAATACGATGGTTTAAAGTACATTTTAGAGAAGAAGTCAAAAAATTTTGATGTTCACAGAGTATTTCAAAGAATGGTAGGATATAACATACAGACTGAAAAAGATCTCCGCTTAAAGAGAACTGGTGTGAAAGATCTCCAAGAGATGGTGGTGACGGAATCATTTGAGAATATCAAAGCTTTTGAGGGTGTCAGCGGTGAGCAAAGACTGGCTCAAGAAAACTTCAATACGGTGAAAAAACTGGGACAGGAAAGATCAAGGATCTCATCCAGAAAGATAGCTGGAAAAATTTTACGGAAAGTTGGAAATGGTGTAGAGACTGCCAGTACTGGCCTTAGTTTCGCTCAGGGAGGAATTGACACAGCAGCTGGGAGTGATATGATTGACAGAGCTCGTGATTTGAGATCTAGGGGTGCAATCAGCGAGAGTGAATATAATGAGATGATGAGAAACGGACGACTTCGAGTTGCTCAAGGAAGCTTTGGTATAGCCAGTGGAATGAAAAATGTTGGGGAATTTGTTGGAAAAAGAATTAAAAATAATTTAGCAAAAAAATTTGGCGAAAAGGTGGCGAAGAAAGCCATACGGTTTGCGCCTTTTGTTGGCAGTGCCATTTCAATTGGCACGAGTATTGTGTCGTTGGCGAAGAATGCAATTGCAGCAAGTGACGCTGCAAAACAGGGTAATGTTGGTAAAGCTGTTATGTATGGGGTCATGGCAGCTGTTGATGGGGTGACAGCTATTCTGGACGGAGTAAGTCTAGCCTTAGATTTTATTTTCCCGCCATTGTCGCCAATCGTAGATCTTATCAGTACAATCTTACAGGTGGTGAATACAGTTCTTGGTTTCTTTGCTGATTTGTTCGACTTTCGATCCACTGAACAACGAGTAAAGGATGAATTTAAGACTTACATAGAGTCCGAAGCATTTAAGAAGTATTTGAAAAATTTGGAAGATGAATACAGGAGAAGAGGATTTGACATTTTTATCTACTATGTAGATGCGGAGGCAGCAGGAATAGATGCAGATAAGGCAACTTTACAAAACGAAAAGAGGAATTTTACCAAGTGTCTGACCGCCAGAGCGATTGCAGATTTTCATAACAAAGAAAACAGAGTAGCATTAATGGACGCAACAAGTGTCGGCAAAACGTTACGAGGTCGGCTAAGCGATGATGAAATTGTAGCTGGTTTTGGTCCAGACCGTATTTATGGTGAAGAGGGTGATGACATATTGTTTGGACGAGGCGGAAGTGACAGCATTTTTGGTGGGCCAGGAAATGATTATCTTAATGGCGGAACAGGAAGGGACACTCTTCTCGGTGGAGAAGGTGACGATTTTATTGTCTGTGAGGCAGGTGTCGACAGACGGTGTGAGGGTGAGGAAGGAGAAGATACTCTAGCCTTAGCCGGTCACTCCTTGATTTTCAAAGAAGACCTTTGGAATAAAAATTACATCATGATGGGTAGGACGGGACCAGAGTGGAAAACCCCTCCAATGAACTCACCAGTCACCGGAGTTTACCTGGATATTGGATATACCTCAGGAGGCAAAAAGGGAAGATCAGGAATAAATCTAGGATCCTGCTTTCGTGGTTGGCCGGACGGTTTCAATGCATTTATTCATAAGCCAGGAATGAAGTCTTCAAGTGATCTGGCGCACAGTTTAGAGACTTTCTTCGAAAGCCAGAATCCCGAGTTTCTCAGAAACCACGAAGAGTTAAACAGCAAAATATTGTGGTTTCTGGCATACAGAAATGGCTTCAAGTACTTCAGTGATGGAATATCTTTATACACAGTGCGCGATTACGGTTATGTTCCAGAGAAAGTGCGTGTCGCCAAAAACGCCATTCAACGTATTTCTACTAGCAGTGCCGTATATAGAGATGGACATCTACAATACTCCGGAAATAAAAAGCTGGAAGCACTTTTGGTATTTGCTTTCAGAAAAAGTTTCGTATTTGATGAATTCGAAACAATCTCTGCTGCAAGACCAGATAATGTGAGTATACTGTCACACTACATTCCAACAACTATCATCGGCAGTGATGACCATAATGTTGTAGATGTATCGTACGGCTTTAATGATGTGGTGTATACTGGTGAAGGGAACAATGTTGTTTCTGTTGGAGGTACTTTAGGCTATTATGATTATACCGATAAACTTGCTGAGAAACGGTGGGGCCTTCATTATTTTCCAACTTGGGCCAAATACATTATTGGCGGCAGTGGAGACAATACTCTCATTATCCAATATGTGCCGCCTCCTAAAGACAGGCGGTACCCGATGTCGCCCTACTTACAGTAGTTGGCAACTTAGAAATATCAACAGCCAAGCTGACGATCACAGCATTGCTTTTGAACATGTTGTTTACTTGCAAAACATATCAACTATTGAAATGAAGTCTTTTGGATACGAAGGACTTTATTACAGCAGTTTGGATGCCATCAACTATGATGGGGCAAGCAGATATATTCTAAACCATTCAAATTATTTCCTTGGCTCTTTGACAAGCAAAAAAGATGTGACAGTATTGCCCAGGCGACTCTTCAACATAAGATTAGGTCACGGCTACGATATCCAACTAAGTCAAGAATCAAAAAATACCATTTCATTTAAGTTTTACGAAGACGAGAGATACCAGATCGACACAGTGAGTCTGATGCATAACCGTAAAAACCGTCTTAAAGTTAAGGTGTATGGTACATCCTCAAGCGCCTACAAGGGGTGGGTACTTTTAAAAGACAAGAAATCTTCCAAAGCACAAAATGTATCTTTGGTAAACGTAATGAACATTATTAGCTTCCCGTCATGCAAAAAAATAATTGGCAGCAACGAAGACAATCTTCTCATAGCTGTTGGTGGACAAACAGTTATTGAGGCGAACGATGGAGATGACACCCTTGTGAGTACTCGAGGTAGACATGAGCTGATTGGTGGGGCTGGTGCAGATGTCTTTGTACTCCAAGGTCCCGAAGTGGCTGACTACTTGACAATCAGCGTTGTTATGGGAGCTGACGGAAGAACTATCAAATGTTCGACAACCATTTATGGAACATGGAACAAGGTAGAAAAATGACTTTACATTGACGTGTTGAAACATGATCACGAAGGTGTTCTTTTGAATACTGTTGAGATTATTCCATCGCAAGAAGACGAGGGCAAAACCTTAGGCAAGATTTCTAAAGATAACGCCAACAGAAAGCTTGTCTTTCAACCTGGCTCAAATTTTAATTTCTTGGAGAAGAACAAAGCCAAAGCAGTGAGAATAAAATTTACAACAACAGGGAACATAGCTACAATTAAAGAAAAAGATTATGGGAATCAATTACGCTTTGATTCTATAACCAGTCTTGACCAGTTGACGGCAAGCATTGAAAACGATAACCTGGTTTTCAAGGATAAATCAAATCCTCCACAAGCTGTCCTTATTGACCAGGAATGGAGCAGTAGACTATCGACTGGGTTATACACAAGTTTGTTTGACCTCATCGTAGACTTTGTTGATCGTTTCCCATTGATCCTTTTTCGAAAAACCGAGAAGGAATTTATCCGTGCAGCACAAGAAGATATACTGAGGTTCCTCTTCACACATCTGAACCACCTCATAACTGATCTTGGACAAAACTACGATACCTTCCTTGATTCCACAACTCTTCCTTCTAATGTCGGTGACGAAATTTTTGTTGGAAATGGTCAGAACATCGTCCTCGCCAAAACAAGAGGGAAAACCTACAAGATTGGGGAGAAATCTTCTGGAAGCATCATCGTCGCCAATAACTTCACAGAAGGAACAGGAAAAGTCACCATTAGCGGTGGAGACGACAACAGAAGTCTCAATGCAGTAGTTGTTGGAGCCCAAGCAGATACACCAGTAGAGATTTGTATGGGGCCACATGATCTGATTATTACTGGTGCTGACGAGAATGATGTACAGATATATAACGACACTGATGGTAAAGTTTGTCTGAAAGACCGCCGACGACAACAAGATGTTATCAAAGGGTGGGACGTTTCAAAATGTGAAAAACTGATCTTCAAGAAATTCCTTCAAAAAGTGAAAGATGGAGCAAANTCAATAATAAATCTTTGCTTCGCTTTGAACTGTACCACAGGAAACAAAGACAAGCCTTCTAATTCTTCAAGCGCTTGCTGGAGGTCTCCCTCGAATCTAAAGTTAACACTACTATCAACTTCGGCAGAATTCGTACGGTCAACTGCTGTAAGCTTTTAAGCTTAAAAGTTTCAAAAGGAGTTGGGAGCGAAAGCAAGAAGAAGGCACTGCAGCTAGCCGGCATTTCCCACGATCAATCGACGTAGTTGCGTGGCCCGTGCGACGGAAATTTTCACGCTGTAGAAAGTTTCAGAAGTCGTGCAATGAACATGGACATCTAAAATGTAAGCTTGGCGTTATATACTAGACAATGTGAGCAAATTAAGGTGTGGAAAGTGAAAGTCATGCATCGCGTATCGTATCAGCAATAAAAATTTACGATACCTTGGAAAGATCCGCCCTAAAAATTCATCGGAGAGTGTTTGTTTCTTGTAGTCGTGCTAAAGGTTGCAATTTTGCGGGTTGTTAACATTTTGTTCTGAAACTTTCGTCGAGAAACTTTCCCCGTTGAACGCGCTACGCAACTATGGCAATCGCTGAGGAAAACTACGTCGTGTAAGAAAACACGAGAGTCACCCGGCAGCTTCTCTTCGCTGATTGGCCAGAAAAAATTTTTTCTGGCCAATCAGAAGCAGGCAATTCAAACGCTTCTGGAACTGGTTCGGTAAGAGTAAGTGCCCAGGGGCTCGTCTCGATCTTACAGTAAACTTTCACCACGACATTTTATCGACCCGACTAACTGCCCCTGGGTCTCCGAGGATGATTATTGGCGGCAGTGGAGACAATACTCTCATTATCCAATATGTGCCCCCTCCTAAAAACAGGCGGTACCCGATGTCGCCTACTTACAGTAGTTGGCAACTTAGAAATATCAACAGCCAAGCTGACGATCACAGCATTGCTTTTGAACGTGTTGTTTACTTGCAAAACATATCAACTATTGAAATGAAGTCTTTTGGATACGAAGGACTTTATTACAGCAGTTTGGATGCCATCAACTATGATGGGGCAAGCAGATATATTCTAAACCATTCAAATTATTTCCTTGGCTCTTTGACAAGCAAAAAAGATGTGACAGTATTGCCCAGGCGACTCTTCAACATAAGATTAGGTCACGGCTACGATATCCAACTAAGTCAAGAATAAAAAAATACCATTTCATTTAAGTTTTACGAAGACGAGAGATACCAGATCGACACAGTGAGTCTGATGCATAACCGTAAAAACCGTCTTAAAGTTAAGGTGTATGGTACATCCTCAAGCCCCTACAAGGGGTGGGTGCTTTTAAAAGACAAGAAATCTTCCAAAGCACAAAATGTATCTTTGGTAAATGTAATGAACATTATTAGCTTCCCGTCATGCAAAAAAATAATTGGCAGCAACGAAGACAATCTTCTCATAGCTACTGGTGGACAAACAGTTATTGAGGCGAACGATGGAGATGACACCCTTGTGAGTACTCGAGGTAGACATGAGCTGATTGGTGGGGCTGGTGCAGATGTCTTTGTACTCCAAGGTCCCGAAGTGGCTGACTACTTGACAATCAGCGTTGTTATGGGAGCTGACGGAAGAACTATCAAATGTTCGACAACCATTTATGGAACATGGAACAAGGTAGAAAAACGACTTTACATTGACGTGTTGAAACATGATCACGAAGGTGTTCTTTTGAATACTGTTGAGATTATTCCATCGCAAGAAGACGAGGGCAAAACCTTAGGCAAGATTTCTAAAGATAACCGCAACAGAAAGCTTGTCTTTCAACCTGGCTCAAATTTTAAGTTCTTGGAGAAGAACAAAGCCAAAGCAGTGAGAATAAAATTTACAACAACAGGGAACGTAGCTGCAATTAAAGAAAAAGATTATGGGAATCAATTACGCTTTGATTCTATAACCAGTCTTGACCAGTTGACGGCAAGCATTGAAAACGATAATCTGGTTTTCAAGGATAAATCAAATCCTCCACAAGCTGTCCTTATTGACCAGGAATGGAGCAATAGACTATCGACTGGGTTATACACAAGTTTGTTTGACCTCATCGTAGACTTTGTTGATCGTTTCCCATTGATCCTTTTTCGAAAAACCGAGAAGGAATTTATCCGTGCAGCACAAGAAGATATACTGAGGTTCCTCTTCACACATCTGAGCCACCTCATAACTGATCTTGGACAAAACTACGATACCTTCCTTGATTCCACAACTCTTCCTTCTAATGTCGGTGACGAAATTTTTGTTGGAAATGGTCAGAACATCGTCCTCGCCAAAACAAGAGGGAAAACCTACAAGATTGGGGAGAAATCTTCTGGAAGCATCATCGTCGCCAATAACTTCACAGAAGGAACAGGAAAAGTCACCATTAGCGGTGGAGACGACAACAGAAGTCTCAATGCAGTAGTTGTTGGAGCCCAAGCAGATACACCAGTAGAGATTTGTATGGGGCCACATGATCTGATTATTACTGGTGCTGACGAGAATGATGTACAGATATATAACGACACTGATGGTAAAGTTTGTCTGAAAGACCGCCGACGACAACAAGATGTTATCAAAGGGTGGGACGTTTCAAAATGTGAAAAACTGATCTTCAAGAAATTCCTTCAAAAAGTGAAAGATGGAGCAAAGTATATTGAGGATAAAGATTCCTTAAATAATCCTGCTGTTGAAAAGGAAGAGTACACACAGATCATCTTTAGTTGTTACGCATTTGTAAAACTCGAGATTGAAAATGCCAAGATACCAGAAGTGGAAATATCGTACTTCAGCCTACTACACCCTGTCACCGTCTCGTATTATTCAGATCGTAACCTTAAACTGAACTGTCTATTCGAGGAAAAGAATGCACTTATTTTCGTGGATATAATGGAGAATTCTAATTCGATTTGGGTCTACTTCGGGTCAACACATCATCAGTCTAAGCTAGACATCTATAAGTTTCCATACTTGGTCATACCATGGGAACCGAGCCAGGAATTAGATGTGAAAGTACTGGTCAACGCCATTCGCTTCCAATTTAAAGCCGGGTTGGAATTCAGCGATGAGTTGGTGAAGGATGACGAGATCTGTCTATTTGTCGTCGGAAAGTTTACGGCTGATCCTCCGGGATATAAGTTAATTGGTAAAGAAGCCACTTTGACGAATCTGGATTTAAGATGCTGAAATTTAAAATTTCATTTAATGATCAAGCATGGGAGTGAACTTCAAATGTTGTAATGGCAACAAAAATAAGGAGAATTCCAAATAAAATGATGAAATCAATAAATAATATTGGTTGGCCTTTTTTCACTCAATTTCACTAATTAAGCTTTTGAAACAATTAACATCTTATCTTCAAGTCTGTTCTTATCATAATTCGCTGGTCACGTGCATCAGGTTTACATTCTTTACAAATAGACCTTTGTAACTCGTTCTCTCTACGAAGCTAGCCGTGCATAAACAAAGCTTTTTAAATCTTCTGAAACAGACAGGGGCACCCAACGAGAATATAGTTCAAAACCACTTAAACATGGCATTGTTGAACGTATTTTAGTATTTAAACAGTAGATATAGGCATATTTTTATCCCCTAAAAATTTTTCATCTGTTCGGATTTCCTAGCTGAAAGTCTAGTGATCCGAGAATTATAGGGATCAAAACTTACCTTTTCGAAAATTTCAGCCAGAAAAAAGGCTCCCGAAGATTCTAGGTGACCTTTTTACTGTTTTTACGCTAAAAATCCGTTAAAAATGGGCAATTATACCATGTTTGGGAGGTTCGAAAATCCTAGGAGAGGCATGCAAGCAAGAAATTTAACAACGAATGTTCCGAAAATTCTATATCTCAAATCGTCTTCTGAACAGATATTTTCCAAAATTTGCCGATGGGTGCCCCTGACAAAATGGCCAACACGTTTCGGCGCATTGTGGTAAACCTTGAGTGTGACCACTGAAGCTATGTTCACACTATATCAGATAGCGTTTGCGCAGACGCGAAACCCAGAGCGGATAGGGCTTCTGTTTACACATGATGACGGTGATTTCGATGCGATTTGTGTGACGAAGCGAAGCTGCGCCGCTATGCAGATGACAAAAATGAACAAAGTCAAAATCAATCTAAAGTATACAGTTTTAAAACGAACGGAAAATATTTCATGAGAACAGTAGAAGGGCCCAGTTGGAGTCGTTGCCTCAAGCAGCGCTTGCTGCTTCGCGGAGAGCGAAGTAAAGGATTCGCGCAGCTCAGGTATGTTTTAAAGTTGCATCCGGGGGATCCAAAGTTGCTTCGGAATTAGTTCGAGATATCTTCGAGTTCTTTGATTTATTCTGTCAGGGGAAAGAACTAATCATGAGGAAGAATTAATTATTATTTTTGGAAGAAGTAAACAAGAAATAATTATTATTTCTGGATTGCCTAGGCTTTGAACTGGCTTACGTGTGACGCGTCAGATCTAAATTGAGGGATTAGCCGATTGCGCCACTGCGACGCAAGGTAATTTGAGATGTGGAAAATAGCTATAAGTTATGCTCGAGGTACGGTTTAAGATTCCGCACGCAAGTTTGTTACTTTTCGGCTTGTTTTGGGTATTTGACGTAGTGACGCAGGAATGAGTTGGGAGCAGACGCATGCTCTGGTTGGAGATATCGCGAGGTCACTTCTAGTTCTTTTGGCTACAACAAATATTTGAGGCGGAGAACAAACTAATGTCGTAAATTTGCATTTTGTTTCCGAAGTGAGGCCAGAAGTTGTTCGAGACATCTCGATATCAGCTCGAGTTGTTTAGTTTGTCTGTGGAAGAAAGAAATATTATTTTTTGCTCGCCCTTCGGTTTGTAGTTACTTATCTTTGCCCCGTTAGATCGCGGAGACGAGATTGTAGCAGAATAGTAAAAGATGGTTGATTTGTAGGTTTAATTTTTTTTTTAATTTGGGCGAGCAGCAAGTTAATGTTTTGCTGCAGAACTTCGAACAGTCGGTTTGCGACGATTACTTATTTTGGGCTTATAGGAAACTGACTGAAACGTCGTGTGCAATTTATTTAAGACAGAAATTATAATCGAATTGGATTACAGCCACGGGGTCATGCACCTAGCAGACTTCCGGTGAAGTCAAGACGTCTGTAACACAAAAGGAGAAAAGTAAGGGTATTTTTATGTTAGGGTATCCGGAAAAATATCATTTCTTACTATTCCTCCACATTCACAATTAATCCCCAATCACGACGCCGAAGTTTACGCTCCATAGCGTCTTGTTTCTTTAAATGCTCTGTAGTTGTACTGATACTAGACTACACAAAGCGAGGGAATATTTTATTTATTTAAAAAAATAATAAATATATATTTAATCCTCAATTCACTTTTTGATACTTCACAACTTTTTAGTTTAACTGCTCTCAAGAACAGATCTTGTTTAACGTATCCAAGTGAACTATGGTCTGTGAAGGGACCTTGTATCAATAAAATAGCAATTCTATATTATAAACAACATTATACTTTTATCTCCAGTTATTGCTTTCACTTATGATGATCAGCATCTTGCGCTGCAACTTAAAGCAAAACTGTACTGTTTGTCGTAGTGGTAGTGGTTAGAACATAAGCTGTTCTGTTTATTTTGGCGCGTAACATTTTCTTAAATTGCGTGACAATCATTGAACTTCTGAAAGTCATGCGACGTGTTATTTCCGGCAATATCTTTGTTGCGTTTAAGCAAATCACTCGCAAATTTACATGGTATCACTTCCATGTTGCGCAGTTTTGTTTTTTTTTTATCTCACAATAGTTTTATAACACAATGTAATCAACTTTACATTTGTACACTTTTATAAGCTGCAGCTAAACTGCTACCCCTCCCCCCTGTGCAACCGACTCCTCCTTTGAATTCTTCACAGTCGGAGCACTCAAGGATTGTTGGGTCAGCATTTTCCGCCTAAACAGTATGCCCACGACCACTAAGGCAACCAGAAGTACGACGCAAACAGCCGCGATACCAAGAACCAGCGGGTTTACTAAGCTTGAATCCTGGGATTCCTTAGTATCCGTCTGTTTCTCAATCTGTTTCGATGGCAAATCAGGCTTCACTTCCTCTGGATCAAGCAACAAACGAATCATCTTGATATTTGTGCCTTGTCCGCTGACTTCAATTTGCCTCTTACCGGCAGCATCGCGGCGAAACAACCTGTGAACGAGGCTATTTTCCAGCTCAGATAACACGTGGGAAGAAAAGGAGGTCTTTGAATGGACTTCTTGTTCTCCTGAAAGAGCGCGCCTGGAGCGACTTCCGGAAGTGACGGAGTAAATAGCGTGCATAAACCATTTCCGGTTTCTAGGAACCTGCAATTTGAGAGAGCATTTATAACAAACCTAGAGTGAAAACAAGTTGTGTGAGTAAACCTTTAAAAGAGATCTAGTAAAGAGAACAATCTGGGAGAATAAGCATCGTATTTGTCATCTTAGCTACCCTTTCTTACCCAGTTTCTCTGCGGGGATCTTGTCTACCTACAGAGAATACTTCTTGACATACATATAGTAATTTCTTTTGTGACTACCGGTTGTTAGTAAATTAAAGTCAAATGGACCCATTTCGATGGATCAAAGTTCATAGCAGGCTCCAAGGCTTGGGAGAATGTAACAAAAGTATTGTAACAATTATCCCTGAAGCTCAAGGCGATTTGTTTTGTTACATTAGCCTCGGAGCTAAATATATATCGACATTAACTGCCACTCCAAAAATTGGGGCTAAAGAGAGAATGGATACAACCTTTTGGCGCAAAGCTTTCTGGGATCACTTGGGAGGGGAGCGTGAGTTATGATTGGTAAATAGTTGCCCTTGGATACCACGAACCAAATTACGCTTGTCTACCCAAACAATCCCAGTAAACTTTGCGTCCAAAGATGGTACCATTGCTACTACAGTTTATGGAGTGGAGAATACCCCTCGCGTGATGAGATGAAAGTACCACAAATAACGTAACAACAGGTTTGAAAACTAAGTCAGTTCTATGATTCGAAGTTACTACCTCAAAAAGGGGTGCGCTATTCATAACAAAACCATCGGATCCAGGATCTTCGGAGAACTCCGTTGCGTTGGTCTCTTCTTCGGCAAACTTCGCTTCAAAAGGTACATCGGAGAGATGTTTGTCTACAGAACTTGGTTCTTCCCTGTCCTGTAAAACGTAAGAAGGGAATTTCTTAGGCTACTTTAAACTCATAAAACTACATCTTTTCTTTTCAGCAAAATACTCGCTGGTGAAAAGTTAAAAAGGTAAAAAAAAACTTACGTAATTCATAAAATTCGTTTAAACTGTTTAACTGTCAGTTAGTGAAGTTTCTTTTAGGCAATTAAAAATGACTAAATGGCAAATTTCTCTGCCCTTTTTAGGAATTCAACCCCTGATATCCCCTCATCTCTAACCAAAATAGGTACCCCTTTCAGGCGGGGCATTCCCGTACAGAGGATACCTTCAAGGATATCTATCACAAAACCATCTTCTCACTAACACGCGGGCATCCTAGCGCGTTACCAGACACAGTCGACTTACCAGGACTTTGAGTTGATGTTCCAAATACAGCGACTTCGCCATGCAGCCAAACTTGTTCTTCAATGGATCGTAAGAGGGTATGTACTCCCCGACACCAGTGCACAAATAAACCTTCTCTGTTGCCAAGGCATATCCCTTCCCTCTCCTCCCTAGTCCACTTGCCTCATTTAAACTGATGCGCCCGTAGATTTTTGAGCCTGTNGTTTCTTTTAGGCAATTAAAAATAACTAAATGGCAAATTTCTTTGCCCTTTTTAAGAATTCAACCCCTGATATCTCCTCATCTCTAACCAAAATAGGTACCCCTTTCAGGCGGGGCATTCCCGTACAGGGGATACCTTCAAGGATATCTATCACAAAACCATCTTCTCACTAATACGCGGGCATCCTTGCGCGTTATTAGACACAGTCGACTTACCAGGACTTTGAGTTGATGTTCCAAATAGAGCGACTTCGCCATGCAGCCAAACTTGTTCTTCAATGGATCGTAAGAGGGTATGTACTCCCCGACACCAGTGCACAAATAAACCTTCTCTGTTGCCAAGGCATATCCCTTCCCTCTCCTCCCTAGTCCACTTGCCTCATTTAAACTGATGCGCCCGTAGATTTTTGAGCCTGTTAAAGTGAAGACAGAAGTAAGAATAGTACAACATAATGAGGAATGAGGAGGCTAGTCTGTACCCAACTCGGCCAAGCCTTGTTCCTTATATCAAATGCTACCTATTGCATCTCTTGACGAAAGAAAGAAAACCAGGTTTGTTCGTGTAGCATTTTAAAACAGTTCACTAAAAGAAACTTAACTTGAATCAACAGAAATGATATGACGAGGGAAAATTTTGAAAAACAAATTTAAAGAGACAAAACAATAGAGGCGACACGCCAACCTAACAATTACATAACTTTTCGATATGATAGTCTTAAGCTTCGGTAAATCAGGCAACATAAACGTGCAACTCGTTTTGCAACATTGCTGCGTTTTACAACCCTTGTTCAAACCTGTTAACAACCAGATTTGTTGCAAGTCAGGTTTGTTGTGGTTGGTTAAACGAGCAACGTATCTATTCGACTCGTTTTGCAGAAATGGTGCAAGACAAGTTGCAGGTTTTTGTTGCCCGTTTAACCGTACTTTTACAGTAGCATGAGACTAATTCAAGAAATCCAAAAATTCACATAAGCGCTTGAATTAAGTTCGTTTATATCTTGTTAGTTAGGTCTTTCGGCTTTTCAACGACAGAACTACCGACGCCAAAGATAGAATTAAGGGGAGGGGGGGTTGGGGGCCATAAAGCAGCCATAGGCTTTAAACACTAAAGGCAACCTATTTGATATTCTTCGTTTGAATGCCTTACCTTTAGAAAATGCAGCATCTACTTTAAAATCACCCATTTTAACACGGTCCAGCCACTGATCTTTTTGCGACATCAGAAAGAACTTGGCAGACAGAGTGAATTTCGCGGGAACTGGATCGGGGACTTGTTGGAATCGGATTGGCAAAGTGAAAGTCACCGGATCACGTGGATGACACGTGAGTGGCTCTGAGTAGCGTGCTCCCTAAGTGGAGTTAAAAAGTCAATAAAAATGCTAAATATCACCGACTTCAATGCTCTGCAGAAACTTAGCTCAGTTCTTCGTTTAGTTTCGCCACCTAGAATATCGTTTGACACTATGGTCAGTAAGAAAACTGTATGAAGAATCTTTCGTAAGCGGTATCCATTCCTGATATTAAATACGACGCCCACGAGGACTGGAGATGGTCGATGGTAATATTCAGTAATTTCGCCGCCCAATTTTGGCTGATCTATGGCTTGTCTAGCCTTTAGCCTCAAGACCATTTAGTTAAACAGATTAGAGAAATCTAACCTGGCCTATTCACGAAGTAAGCCCAGAAAGAAAAGTCCATTGAATTTCTGGAGCTCTAGTTCAATGAAATACAACAAGGTACGTGCAAGAATTCAACTGAACCCTTGGCAAACAAAACGTAATAAGGTGAAAAATAGGAAGAGTCACTAATAAAAATTAAACTGACTCATAAGAGGATTCTTTTACACCAACCTTGTCCGCTGTGCAAGGAATCAGTTTGATGAAATATACTCCAGTATAATCTCGCAATGCATACTGGGATTGAAACTGCCAGCTCTGCTGTGGGTAGTTGTAGGTTTGGTCACTTGATAACAGTTTTAATCTAAAACTGAGGTGTGGCCGCTCACGTGATATGACCTGCGCAGTCACTTCAGTGCCTGAAAACACGAATACAAAGAATGTTGTTTTCAGATTTGATGGGTCAAGAAAAGAGAGTTTTCTCAGGTGTCGCAAAGAATATCAGTTTCGCTTTTATGCATGTATAAGGCGCGCGCACGTAAACACTGAGTCGTTACTTTCAAACGCGTTTTATGATATATTTAACACGGAAATGGCGAGAAATATCCGATGTTTTATCGCGTCCCTTTTCTCAGGGCTTTAAACTAAATTAAGTAATGGCAAGCCAGAAATACATACTTGGATTTTTGATCAAGTAAATTCCTCGAAACTTGGTTTTGGTTTTAAAATTGACCACCAGTCGCTTATCATCTGCGCGTACAGAAATAGCAGTAGGCCATAGTTCTCCGTAGAACAAGTCTCCCTCAGGAGTCTGCACGCCATTATTTAACAGTACAGCGGTGTCGTACGTGAGGTGCAGCCGCAAAAACATGGCATGATCGTAGTGAACCCAGTCTCCCCTCGTCTTCGGAACGCGATGCACGAACGAAACATACAAAGGTACGCGCACGGTGAGCTGTGATTGGGCAATATCACTCGACTGTTCGTCTGATGTCACTGTAGCGCCACAAAACTGAGTGAGCTCTGAAATGTCGTAGTAGCTGTTAAACGTCCACAAGCAAGACTCGAGGTCGAGATTTCTGTAGAAGCGTAGAGTGCTGTTGTTCCTAAGCTCCTCGCTAAACTGATATGGTTCACCCTCATTCATACCTTTGTGGTCTTTAATAGAATCTGCTACAAACCCAAGACTTGTGGTGATTTCGTTCAAGTCTAAAAGATTGGAGCATTTGTGTTTCGCTATCCTTAGCACGCCTGGACGAAGTATTCGCTTGAAATTTGCAAGTCGTGTTGTCGATATTAGCGGTATCAGTCCGTCCGTATGAGGGAGAATAACTTTAATATGGACTTTGTTGGAGTCCTTATTTCCCGTTGCCCCTGTAAAGGAAATGGATGCTTCAATCTGCTGCGATCCCACCTGATCAGAGTCCCTCGGTGTGCATAGACCCCTCTGCTTACTGATGTTGACTTGAGCACTTGTCGATTCTAGGCCTAGCTCACCGCGGTCATTGACGGCACGCGCGACACATCGCACCCGACTGCCTGGTACCAAGTAAATGCTATCCAAAGTAACTTGATCAGTTTTAGCGAAAAACGTGTCACTTGTTAAGTCTCTTAGTCCCTCGCCGATTTGCCAACGGAACTGTGTCAGCTTGTTATTAATTCGTTGTGAAGAACAAATTGAGCCAGTCTCGGCGTATCTGGGGTACTTAGGATCACAGGCCTGTGTGAGGAAATAAAATATTGTGGTTATTAATCTACGCTGAGTAATAAGGGGAACACGAAGTACAGCATGCAACACTAACGAACATTCCGTTGTTACGGAGGGTGGATCAAGAACATCTCAAAAATTATTCTTATAAATGCCATGACCATATAATAGGCAGTAACGTATTTAAGCCGTGATGTGATTAAAAACCTCCTAGTTTTTATTCTTAGTTTGTTCTTCAAAATCATTTAAAATTTGATAACAAGCACTTGATACAGTGTTTCGTAAGTCACCACAAAGTCCGAAACGTCCAAGAAGCATGCTTTCAAGTCCCTTTGTTGGTGTTTCATATGTGATAAAACACCTTGTTGCGTGTTTAACAGAAAAGCGGATACTCAATTTTTTGGATTAAGCGCCACGTAAAAATGCTGTCCTAAGAGAGTCGCTTATCTCGATAGTCTCGACAAAAGTAGAAGTGGTCACTATAGTTACTTACTGTGACACATATTAGTGGATAGCCCTTAATCATTTCAGATTCCGCCCCACTGACGTCATCATAGTCACGCAATGATACGACCCTTGGCGGGAGTGGGAAAGTGACGGCGGGATTACGTGATGGCTGCTCGATGTACACAATAACTTTCTTCCTTCCCAGCTCACTGCGGCCAGTAGAATCCGGGCTCATATGGACTGTAAACGCGCGACGAATCTTTCTTTGAGCATCGAACAGGATTTTAACCACAATCACGTGACTGGAGTTACCTCGGGAAAACTCTAAAATCTGCGAAATATAAAAAGAAATTGGGAATTTAAAAACCTCCCGTAAGCGACAGCCCAAACTGCCAAAATTTGAAGGTCACTTAACTTGAGCTGATCACACATGAATTTTCGAATGTAGCAGGGTTTAACTGGTTTTTCTCGTTCTCGCATTGAGCGAGAGAACAATATATTTTTTGTAATGGTATCGCTACCATTCGCAGGTGAGGTCCGTTTACGCAATAAACTTAAACCTAGTGGTCAATGTTTGGCTTCTGTGGTTGTTTTATGTTGTCCCAAACGCTGTGCATCAGCAAATTCGGGTACGTCAAAGCTGTTGTGACCGGCAGTAAGTGTTCGTGCTACAGAGATATCCGTTTAAGAGATGGTTGACGTACGGCAGGAACCCTTAACCAGGGGCGAGCAACTCCCATACTAGGCCTATGTCACGGCGTTTTTACGGACCGGTTTATTTTTAGACACATTTTAGGGCACTTTTTCCCGCGAAAATGGAATCTCCGCCACGTCTATGAACGCATTCGAAGTATAAGATATCAAAAAGGAAAACGTAACGTCATTAAAGGCAAAAAGTATCATTTTTAGGTGTTGCCGACTGGTTTGTGGAACTTGAAAGATATTCTAAATTCGCACCAAAACCGTTCCAAAAATAAACTGGTCCTTGAAAACGCCGTGACACGAGCACATGGAAGTTGCTCGCTTCAGGTTATCGGCTCCTGCGTACGGAAAGTATTTTTGTCCTTACCTGTGTCATTGCTTGATACCCTTTACCAGCCTTCGCGGATCCATCAAGTGTATACACCCTGACCTTTGACCTTGTGAAAGGGTCACCTGTCTTTTTTACGGTTATCCGTGCCTCGACATGTGCATTCCTTACTACAGGACCCGCTACAAATACTCTCTCTTTCGTGAACTGAATAACTGGTTCTGCAGGAAAGAGAAAAGACAATTGAAGTCCCTAAAAACTTGCAACAGGCCTATTAAGAACGTAGGTGCGCAATGCGTACATGATGGTGGTTAAAGAGAGGTTCGCTATTTCTAATTACCTTACAAATTCGAGTATTCATATTCATACGCGTGTCACACGTGTTTACCCCCCAAAATTTTACATAACCATTGCTTTTAATTTCTCCTGGGTTTTACAGTTGTCCCATGAAAAGTCGACGACAATGGTCATAATTTTTTTTTTCTTTTTCTTACTTTCTTTCTTTCTTGCTTGCTTTTTTTTCACATTCTTTTTTTTGGGGGGGGAGGGGGGGGAAGGGGGCGGTGGAGAAAGGTGCATTATATTTCCGCTGAAAATAACGAATAATAAATTTCTATGTAGTTACTGCAATAAAAAGGTTGCTTTGGCAAGTGGTCAATGGGTATTTGGGCATACACCTAATTGCAAAAACGTTGTCATAGAAAAAAGCAAAAAGCAAAAAGACAAATAGGAATAAACTAGCCATGTGATTTACATTTGCGTATTTTAATTCAGTATTTAACAATTATTTAGGAATTCATTCACAATAACAAGGGATAATTCTGTAATTCCGCGCTGAAAGAAAGACAGGCGCCATAGTCATTTTAGAGCCAACATTCTCCGTCAACAGAAGTCGCACAATTCGAAAAAGAAAAAGGTAAATTGACGCGAGCAATATTAAGTCTCAGTTGTCGCACTTTCAGTCGCCAATCTATTATGTCCTGACAAACGAAGCTTGGTTTGTGGCTCAGGTGGGGGACTGGTGGAGGACCCCCTCACCCTCTCCGTGATGAAAAGTCCTGCCTACGCCCCTGATTTGTTGCTTGAAAATTGTGATCAGATGGTGTTGTGCACTGCAAACCATACGCAGACTGGCTTTTCTATTTAGCACTAATCTAAAACACGCGTTGAGTTCCTGGAATTTACCCCAGGCTATATTTATTGAAAAAAAAAATAGAGCCATATTTTCTTTAGTAGTTATCCGATGTGCTTTGTAATTCGAGCACGTTTGAATCAGCCTCGAATTGCATTGACACTATGAAACTGATGCAAATGATTTTTCTCATATTACGTGATTAACATTCAGCTATAAGCGTGTGTGTTGTGAATGTTGCAAGCTATGATAATTACATGCTAGTTAATTCCTATTTAACTTTTTGCTTTTTGCTTTTTTCTATGACAACCTTATTGCAATTAGGTGTATATACGGACTTCAATGACATAAATCGTTTGAGTGACCACCAAACAATAGCTTCCCAGTACGCAAATTGTCCAAAACCAAAAGCAACCTTTATTAAATCAGGTTTATCAAAGTACTCACTATCGGCTTCGTCTAGGATGCTTATTTCGGTCTCGTTCCTTTCTCCAATCCGAGTGTTCCTGTCCGCACTTCCAAGTTTCAATTTAAATGTCTCCTGTCCCTCAAACACGAGATCGTCCACGATTGTTACAGGACATGACTTCCGGGTCTCTCCTGGATTAAACAGTATTATTGAGGCGTCTGTGTCGGTACGCTCTTTGAAGTCTCTTTGCACTTGCGCAGTCATGGATCGGGTGTAGCAACGGACCGTTGAAGTGTATGACAGGTCTCCGGTGCGCATGAGCGTGACACTAAATGCACCTGATTTTTCATTGGTGGAATATGAAGTCTTCACGAATTGCACTGTGGGTACTAGAAAATAAAGTTTTAAAGCTAAATTCAATTTACATCGACCAAAAAAGAGAAGAAAAATCCCTCTTATATTAATTATTGCTGTATTTTAGGTTTTTCATCATTTGGACTTTATTTTCTCTAAAGTTTTTGATAAACCGCTATCATTGTGTGCCGATTTCGCCAGGGAAGTTCACCTAATATTAATATACTGAGCCAACGGGAATAACCGCGAGGAAGTTTGAAAAAGCGAGAATTCATTTTTATAAATGGCCTCTTCGCTGTTACTAGACTTTCTAACTGCAAGGACCAATGTAAGAGGCCGTTTTAGTGAAAGGTCGCTATAAAGGAGGAGCCTGCTTTGTGGGGGAGCTGTGAGGGGCGTGGCGAAAGTGGCTACAAAGGGTACTTGCCTTTAAAAATGGATAAAAATCTTTAAAGAAAACTTACAATCAGATATGGAGTCATCAATAGCAATAACAGCGTTGCTAGGTTCCGCAATACCAGTATTAATAGGAGTCCTAAGAACCAGTTCAAACGTTTCTGTCCCCTCCACTCTGGGGAGACCTTTGTCATCACGGATTGTTACCTCCATTGACTGACGCTCGAAATAAGGAGCAAAGTAAACCATCTGGATTACTGGAGTATAGTCTTCACTGGCTACGAGATATAAACATATACAAGAATGAAGAATAATTGGGGAGTAACAAAGTATCAAATGCTCAATCAACATCTCGAAACCAAGATGTGTTTCAGTAACGCGCTAGCTGATCTTACCTCGCGCAGATATTGGGTCTGTCTGCCTCGACCTCACGAATACTGAGGATGACTTTGAAAGGTCGGTCCCATTCCTCCTGAGAACGACTTGCATCGTACCAACACTTTCATCAACAGTGTAACTCGACGGGTCAAAAAATATTTTTGGTTCTAAAGCAAGATAAGTAAAGAAACTTAGTATAGACGTACTAACCTCTTATTCACTACCGGCCTTGGGGAGACTTTAGTCATTACGCACATAATGAGTGAGTACAAATAAAGATTGTTGTTGTTGTTGTTGTTGTTAAATTAATGCCGGTTATATAGCGAATTCAAAACTTCTATCGACAAGCTACACTCTTGTCAGAGCCTAGTTTTTGATGCAATTCTACTACTTCCAACCGCGTCCCCTTGCAATATTCTCTCCTCAGAACTTTCACTCACCATGTAAATAACAATGACAGCATTTCGAATTCATCAAATCTAATGGTAAGGTCAAATTTCAAGTCCCATAATTGCAAACGTCAAGCTTACCGTCTTTCGAATCTGGGGCTATTATAACCGCGCTCGTGTTCCGTTCGTCGTTGATTTTGCTCCCAAGATGAGACAACAATGTCACATAAAACGTTTCCTCGTTTTCGTACAAAGAATCGTCAATAATTATAACTGGACAGTCTTTAGTTGACTCTCCCTAAAACGACAAAGGCAATATGATATAAACTACATCCAATTTTTCATTTCTTCCGCTGGCCGCTTGGCTACTAAAGCCACTAAGGTGTTTTCCGGAACTTTTCCATCTCGAATTTTCTTGCAGCGGTTTTAAAAGCATTTAAAAACATCGATTGTTAATTCACCACTTTCAAACAGATAATAACATGCACCTTCTTTAACCCCCTTAATTTTTCATAACCGCATAACCCTGATTATCTTCGATCTCTGTTGGAACGAGTGTAATACCCAGGAGAAACAATGGATATGTAGAACTTTGGGGGTAAACAAGGTGCATTATGGTCTATATGAAAATGGTGAATTTCGCTAAAATACAAATGCGCCCAAAGAAAAGAAAAGGCTAATGCAAATTGTGACATCACTTCAGAATGGGGGAACCAAGAAAGTTAATGCTTTTTTTCAAAACTACAGCGCAGGAAAGAAAAATGTTTTTATTAAGAGATAGTGTAGATACTGTCAAGCAAATAAAAAAAAATCTGTTATATTGGCCACACGCGGTTGAGACTGAGACTGTATCATGATGCCGATTTGCACTGTGGGACTGTTTTGTAGAACGAACTTGGACTCAGTTTCCTGCGCAACCTCATAATGATTCTAGGCAATAAAAGAAGTGGGAGCGTCAGCCCAAAAAAGTCCCACAGTGCAATTCGACAAAACACAAACCCAGTCTCCCGCGCAACGGTTTTACAGTCCCCGTCTCCGTCTATTACCGACCATACAACGGTGTCTTAGACTATGGCAAATCACTACTAGTGGTAGTTGCTGATATTCTGCGGCACAAATACAGCACACACACGTTGTTTGAGAAACTGCTCAGGTCACTGCTAACCTTTTCAAATGTGATAACGCTTTCCTTGCCTGCAGGCCTGGTAATGAAGTCTGCGTAGGACGATATAGAAGTAGGTATGGTACCGGTAGCCCAGCCTGGGAGACAATATTTAGAAAACAATAAACACCGCATTCAAGATTCGTATAACTATGTTAACCACATGGTTCATTCATTGCTGCGGTGTGGTGGCTTGCATGCTCCAGTGACCTGGAGAGCAATGCCAGCGGGAACACAAGCTCCTGGTAGAGTCACCTATGCTGGACAGGTCAAAAGGTAGAGGCCAGACTAAATCGGACGTTCTCTACCAGAGGTTAAATGGGTTTGCTTAGGGCCAACACCCCTACCTGGAAAAAATCTTTGTTACAGAGGCATCGATGACAAGCCAAAATCAACCCGTTCTGGGAGGGGAGGATCCTCCGTGCGGGAGGGTAATTAAATCATTGCCAAAATGGAGGGGCGAAAAGTGTCAAAAGAAAAAAAATCCTACTTTAATCCCCCTCTAGCCCCAATGTCTCAAGTTAACGCGCCCACGGCCCTTTTTTTCCCCCCGGTTTCCCCTTTTCCCCGCGCCAAAAATCCACATTCTTTTCCCCCCCCCCCCCCCAAAAAAAAAAAAAAAAAATTTACATAACCGTTGTGGGTATTACAGCCGTCCCACGAGAAGTCGAAGACAATGGACATGAATTTTTTTTTTCTTTTTTCTTTCTTTCTTTCTTTTTTAGGTGGGGGAGGAGGAAGGTGCATTATATTTCCGGTGAAAATAACGAATAATAAATTTCTATATAGCTAATGCAATAAAAAGGTTGCTTTGGCAAGTGGTCAGTGGGTATTTTGGCATATATACGGAACTTATTGAAATGGAACGTTTGAGTGACCACCAAACAATAGCTTCCAAATACGCAATTGTCCAATACCAAAAGCAACCTTTATTAAATCACGTTATCAAAGTACTTACTATCGGCTTCGTCCAGGATGGCTATTTCGGTCTCGTTCCTTTCTCCAATCCGAGTGTTCCTGTCCGCGCTTCCAAGTTTCAATTTAAACATCTCCTGTCCCTCAAACACGAGATCGTCCACGATCGTTACAGGACATGACTTCCGGGTCTCTCCTGGATTAAACAGTATTATTGAGGCGTCTGTGTCGGTACGCTCTTTGAAGTCTCTTTGCACTTGCGCAGTCATGGACCGGGTGTAGCAACGGACCGTTGAAGTGTATGACAGGTCTCCGGTGCGCATGAGCGCGACACTAAATGCACCTGATTTTTCATTGGTGGAATATGAAGTCTTCACGAATTGCACTGTGGGTACTAGAAAATAGAGTTTTAAAGCTAAATTCAATTTACATCGACCAAAAAAGAGAAGAAAAATCCCTCTTATATTAATTATCGCTGTATTTTAGGTTTTTCATCATTTGGACTTTATTTTCTCTAAAGTTTTTGATAAACCGCTATCATTGTGTGCCGATTTCGCCAGGGAAGTTCACCTAATATTAATATACTGAGCCAACGGGAATAACCGCGAGGAAGTTTGAAAAAGCGAGAATTCATTTTTATAAATGGCCTCTTCGCTGTTACTAGACTTTCTAACTGCAAGGACCAATGTAAGAGGCCGTTTTAGTGAAAGGTCGCTATAAAGGAGGAGCCTGCTTTGTGGGGGAGCTGTGAGGGGCGTGGCGAAAGTGGCTACAAAGGGTACTTGCCTTTAAAAATGGATAAAAATCTTTAAAGAAAACTTACAATCAGATATGGAGTCATCAATAGCAATAACAGCGTTGCTAGGTTCCGCAATACCAGTATTAATAGGAGTCCTAAGAACCAGTTCAAACGTTTCTGTCCCCTCCACTCTGGGGAGACCTTTGTCATCACGGATTGTTACCTCCATTGACTGACGCTCGAAATAAGGAGCAAAGTAAACCATCTGGATTACTGGAGTATAGTCTTCACTGGCTACGAGATATAAACATATACAAGAATGAAGAATAATTGGGGAGTAACAAAGTATCAAATGCTCAATCAACATCTCGAAACCAAGATGTGTTTCAGTAACGCGCTAGCTGATCTTACCTCGCGCAGATATTGGGTCTGTCTGCCTCGACCTCACGAATACTGAGGATGACTTTGAAAGGTCGGTCCCATTCCTCCTGAGAACGACTTGCATCTTACCAACACTTTCATCAACAGTGTAACTCGACGGGTCAAAAAATATTTTTGGTTCTAAAGCAAGATAAGTAAAGAAACTTAGTATAGACGTACTAACCTCTTATTCACTACCGGCCTTAGGGAGACTTTAGTCATTACGCACATAATGAGTGAGTACAAATAAAGATTGTTGTTGTTGAATTAATGCCGGTTATATAGCGAATTCAAAACTTCTATCGACAAGCTACACTCTTGTCAGAGCCCAGTTTTTGATGCAATTCTACTACCTCCAACCGCGTCCCCTTGCAATCTTCTCTCCTCAAAACTTTCACTCACCATGTAAATAACAATGACAGCATTTCGAATTCAGCAAATCTAAATCTAAATCTAGTCCCATAATTGCAAACGTCAAGCTTACCATCTTTCGAATCTGGGGCTATTATAACCGCGCTCGTGTTCCGTTCGTCGTTGATTTTGCTCCCAAGATGAGACAGCAATGTCACATAAAACGTTTCCTCGTTTTCGTACAAAGAATCGTCAATAATTATAACTGGACAGTCTTTAGTTGTCTCTCCCTAAAACGACAAAGGCAATATGATATAAACTACAACCAAATTTTCATCTCTTCCGCTGGCCGCTTGGCTACTAAAGCCACTAAGGTGTTTTCCGGAACTTTTCCATCTCGATTTTTCTTGCAGCGGTTTTAAAAGCATTTAAAAACATCGAATGTTAATTCACCATCTTCAAATAGATAATAACATACACCTTCTTTAACCCCCTTAATTTTGCACAACCGCATAACCCCAATTATCTTCGATCTCTGTTGGAACGAGTGTAATATCCAGGAGAAATTGGAAACAATGGCTATGCAGAACTTTGGGGTAAACAAGGTTCATTATGGTCTATGGGAAAATGGTAAATTTCGCTAAAATACAAATGCGCCCAAAGAAAAGAAAAGGCTAATGCAAATTGTGACATCACTTCAGAATGGGGGAACCAAGAAAGTTAATGTTTTTGTTAAAAACTACAGCGCAGGAAAGAAAAATGTTTTTATTAAGAGATAGTGTAGATTCTGTCAAGCAAATAAAAAAAAATCTGTTATATTGGCCACTTTGCATACGCGGTTGAGACTGGAACTGTATCATGATGCCGATTTGCATTGTGGGAAAATTTGTAGGACGAATTTGGACTCAGTTTCCTGCGCAACCTCATAACGATTCTAGACAATAAAAGAAGTGGGAGCGTCCGCCAAAAAAGCCCCATAGTGCAATTCGACAAAACACAAACCCAGTCTCCCGCGCAACTGTTTTACAGTCTCCGTCTCCGTCTATTGCCGACCATACAACGGTGTCTTAGACTATGGCAAGTAACTACTAGAGGTAGTTGCTGATATTCTGCGGCACAAATACAGCACACACACGTTGTTTGAGAAACTGCTCAGGTCACTGCTAACCTTTTCAAATGTGATGACGCTTTCCTTGCCTGCAGGCCTCGTAATGAAGTCTGCGTAGGACGATATAGATGTAGGTATGGTACCGGTAGCCCAGCCTGGGAGACAATATTAAGAAAATAATAAACTCGACATTCAAGATTCGTATAACTATGTTAACCACATGGTCCATTCATTGCCGCGGTGTGGTGGCTTGCATGCTCCAGTGACCTGAAGAGCTATGCCAGCGGGAACACAAGGTCCTGGTAGAGACACCTATGCTGGACAGGTCAAAAGGTAGAGGCCAAACTAAATCGGACCTTCTCTACCAGAGGTTAAATGGGTTTGCTTAGGGCCAACACCCCTACCTGGAAAAAATCTTCGTTACAGAGGCATCGATGACAAGCCAAAATCAACCCGTTCTGGGAGGAATGGATCCTCCGTGTGGGAGGGTAATGACGCAGAAAGAAAAGCCCAAAAAGTGTTCGATGGGGGAAGGGGACTTTTTGTCGCTGGCCTACACTCCACTAGGGGCCAACGGCCGCTAAGTGAGTACAACATGTGAACTCGGCCTTACTTATTTTGAGGACGAGCTGATTATCTGGTTAAAATCAACATAAGACAAGGTGATGTATTTGCCAACAAATAATAAATCATCCAGGAAACCGAGATCGAAGCTCTTGCTATGTTATCAACTCACGCCATTGTTTGCAAATTTCTACTTGAAAACAACATAATGAAAAGGTGAAATGATGGTGGTTGTGATGTATAAAATTTATTTTTTATTTTTAAAATCTTTTCAACATACCTTCCTCGATGAAGGAGTGTGTCACACAAGTTACATACAACCGCTGACTAATATCTCCAGTTCTTCTCAAGGGAATCTTAGCTTCTCTGACGCTTTCCTCGACAACTAGCCGATTGCTAACAACTTCCACAGAGGGAACTAAAATGAGAGACCAATCGAAAGAAATTCAACACTCACACTACTGTTCAAAAGAGATAAAAAAAATTGATTTGGCCACGAAGTTACCCTACGATCAGCTGGAAGGGGCAAAGTTAGGCGCAAGCAAGCGTCACGTGAATGGAGGCGCCCCTCTCTCTGACGCCTTCGGGCGATCCTCTCGATTGATCCTCGCGCAGGACTTCTCACAGTATATCCCTCAAGTTGAGAGCTTGCTGGGTGACGAAATTTAACTGTCAGAATTCACATATTTTAAAAAGGTTGTCAAAAACTGCACACAGCTTATACAAAAATTCAACCTTTACGACAATCTTGAACGTTAAAAGCCAAAGAAAAGCATGCGCTTGGCATTTAAAAACTTAAAGGCAACTCTCGTACGAGCCAAAGTAATACATACCATCTTCTGGGTCTGTGATAATCACGTTAGCACATTTAGGGTTCTTGATCACGCACATCTGGGGACTGTTCAGTTCCACTTTGACAATTTCAAGACCCTCGTATTTCCCATCATCCTTTACGCGTAACTTGAACTCCGCTTTGCTCTGTCCGGGACTGAACTGCACATGCGCGGGACCAAGTAAAGAGAAATCATCCCCGAAAGTTGCATTCACACCCCTTACGCACAACTCTGCAAACGAAACCTCTCCGAGAAAGCCTTTTCTGTTGATTACAACGCTTATAACACCGTCAGTTTCGTTGATTTCGTACCTATGGCGTTCTAAAGACACCCACGCCCAGGTTAAAGAAAACCGTTGATGTCGAAGCGTGTTCCCGGCAGGATCAGAAACTTCAAAATCAAAAGCATCGTTGGTAGCATTAGATCCATGATGGAGAACGTACATTATGTTTTTGGAATCAACATCAGCTTGAGTAAAGTTGTTTACACTTTGGTTGCCATGAAGACCTCCCGCTTCTGTAAGAATTCCATTGGATGGCGGGAAGATGACGGTGTAGACTAACTGCGAGTTGTTACTGTCAAGATCTTCAACTCTTAGCACAGAATCACTTATAACAAACCCGAGTCGATTACCAGGTAATTTATTAAGATTAGTGGCACCACGGTTAAGAACCAGTTGTGGGACTCGATTATCCACAGGCTTGATAACGACCTGCACCTNACAACGCTTATAACACCGTCAGTTTCGTTGATTTCGTACCTATGGCGTTCTAAAGACACCCACGCCCAAGTTAAAGAAAACCGTTGATGTCGAAGCGTGTTCCCGGCAGGATCAGAAACTTCAAAATCAAAAGCATCGTTGCTAGCATTAGATCCATGATGGAGAACGTACATTATGTTTTTGGAATCAACATCAGCTTGAGTAAAGTTGTTTACACTTTGGTTGCCATGAAGACCTCCCGCTTCTGTAAGAATTCCATTGGATGGCGGGAAGATGACGGTGTAGACTAACTGCGAGTTGTTACTGTCAAGATCTTCAACTCTTAGCACAGAATCACTTATAACAAACCCGAGTCGATTACCAGGTAATTTATTAAGATTAGTGGCACCACGGTTAAGAACCAGTTGTGGGACTCGATTATCCACAGGCTTGATAACGACCTGCACCTTATGACTGCTACGAGCAGAGGTATTGGTATTGGGAAACACGTAGAATTCGTTGTGTGCTCCGTCGCTAACCGCGATCTCAAAGCTGTCTTTGTCCACCTCCGAGCCATCGTGCGCATAAGAGATTTTGTTCAGATTTACATCCTCTTGGGTAAACGCGCGCGAGGGCGCAGCGTCATTTAGAATCCAACCGTGTAGAGGAACGCGCGTGACAGTGTACACGAGATTCTCAGGCAGCGAGTCTTGATCTTCCGCACGAAGCTCAAAAGGTGTAATAAGTACATTTTCGCCTTCGTTTACCACGAGGTTGCTGGATATAAGAACTGGTTTCTTGTTATCTATGTCAAGAAGTGTCACCAGAAATGTTCTGACCACGCTGTTAGTACCATCTGAAACTTCAAAATCAAAGCTGTCGGCCTTAGCCTCATCAGTGCTCGTATGAACATACACAACTTTATTTCCCGCCAAATCAAGTTGGGTAAATTCTTCCAAGCGCGCCCCTGGAAAGTCCAAGTGTTCCAGACGCCCCTTTTTCGGCTGCTTCACTAGCGAATACCGCAGTTTCTCATTTGGACTTCCTATATCGCTGGCGCTCAAAACATTCGTTGAAATAACCACGCGAGTGTTCTGTGCTAAGCGCACTCCTTTGTTAATAACTGTAGGGTAGATTCGATCACCCGCACTAATCTCCACATAAAATACTTGATTTAGCTGCGCGTTTTGACCGTCTGATAAGTCAAATTTGATGTAATCCCTTTCATCAGGGACTTGTGCGTTATGAAAGTAAACTATTCGCCTGTCGTTTATGTCCTTCTGAGAAAACATTTCTCCTTTGTCTAGGATTTGAGAAGACCCGTTCGAGTATATTTTTCTGAGCTGCCCTGACCGCGGAGGACTGCGCACTAGGAATGTAATGTTATCATCCGGGGAGTCCACGTCGTGAGCTCTGAGATTTTTTGGCGTGATTATTTTGCTTTCGCCTGCAGTTTTGATACGCAAGCCCACATTCACGGAAAGCGTTGGTTCCTCGTCATCTACTGGGATTATAAATACGGGTATCGTACGAGTGGTGTTGTATGTACCATCAGAGACGCAGAGCGCGAACGAATCTCTTGTGCTTTCGCTTCCGTCATGTTGGTACACGATCGAGGTTGACTTTTTTATTTGCGTCAGAGGGAAACTTTGTACTGGTGTACCTTGTCTGCTATCCGTGATCATACCGTGACGCGGTGGCGTCACAACTTCGAAGACCAGCTCGTCGGGAGGTACGTCCGCGTCCACAGCATTCAACACGGTAACATCCACGATGATTTCATCTCCCTCTTCCACCACGAAATCACGCGTGAATATTTGCGGCTTCTCGTCATTCTGAGGTAAAATCTCGATATTAAGAAGATAACGCGGTGAGGTGTTATTGCCGTCTGAACATAAAAAAGCCACCCGGTCCATCGTGGGCTCAGTACCCTTGTACTGGTTTTGCACATAGCTAATATGTCCCGATCTAATGTCAACAATGGTAAAAGACGTGACGCGTTTGCCTGTGTTACTTATCTCCGATCCAGGAGATGGCGTGACGTTCTCCAAAAAACCCACTGTGGGTTGGACGTCAATGACACATGTAACGCGATCGTCAGGCGTGTCAGGATCCGTGATGGTTAGATGTTCTGATGTCAGTTTTGCCGATCCTCCTTCCATTACAACTAGCTGCTTGATCTTAGTCACTTTGGGTGGCTGGCTATCAACAGGTAGGATCATAGTAACCACTTCAACCGCTATAAAATAGAAATCAAAAATAAAAAGGGAATAGTCTCTCAGTATGGTGGTTCTTAACTTATTTTATGTCTTATTTACCGCGGCAGGATTAGCTCAGTCAGTAGAGCGCTTGACTGCAGAGCGGGAGGTCGCGGGTTCGATTCTATGGGCCGGAGCAGTACTCAGGGTCTTAAAAAAACTGATTAATGAAGGTACTCCCTTTGCACCGCAAGAGGCTAGATCTCCGCGTAGCTCGGATTACCACGTAAAATAGTGGGTCCCTTCTCCAGTTGGAGACGTAAAATAGTGTCCCCAATTGGTGCCTTCTTGCAACATACATTGGCACTACTCAAATAAATTAAGTCGCCGATAGTGCGACCACAACCCGCTTTGGACTCAATTGGCCGCTGTATAGAGGTTGACAGTCAGAATTCTCAAATAACAGAGACAGAGAGCTCTTTGACTCATGATCACTTTTTTTCTACCCTATTTCAGTAGAGAGAAGACCCACGGGGGAAAAAAAGAGGAGACTTCATTTTTTTCCTTACTCTTTCTACATCGCGCACAATACTGCTTTGTCGTTTTGCGATAGAAGAGTTAGACTCACGTTTTTAAATATGTAAAACAGTTTCAGCAAAGCCCTAAAACAATTTACTAAATATAAAACGTACTGGCAAAGCCTCAAAAATAAATGGCGATAAGTATAACATAAGCCTCTCTCACACAACTGGAAGCCATGCAAAGCCGACCATTAAACAACCTATGGACCCCCCGCACACTAGAACCCATACTCCCAGCCGTTTGAAAGAAAAACTTTTTCCTCTTCATTCCTTCCTCAGCCACCAAAAAACCACAACTTAAGGTTCCGTTTTCAAAAGCACCTTTGACCAAAATTTCGAGCGAAGAAAAACATATAGAAACGTACCTTCATATCGTCGCCCTTCTCGGATCCAGGCCTTTGTTTCATTTAAAAGCGTCAAGTTAAAGTGATCAATGTCTCCGCGGAGCCCAGTCTCTCTACCAATGTGCTCGTAAAATATCAACCCAGTTTCCAAGTCCTGGACACTAAACTCGTAGCTCATCTTGCCATTACGCAAAATCCTTCCCACTCGGGGTGGGGTAGAGATGCGCAACATTAAGTCTGCGTCACGTGGGCTCTGAGAGGTCGTGTACATTTTGATTGGCTCTCGAGAGTGCTCCTTCACTCGTACAGTCATATTGAACACGTGACTCGTTAAGTTTATCTTCTCTGGGAGAATTACTAGAATAAAGAAAACAACAAATAATTTAAGTTATTTTTGTTTATTTTCCTTTAATCAGGGGTTCAACATATTGGGGCGGCCACTTCTCATATAAAGACGAAACTCCACGTGCGACCACATCTCGTCATAAGCGACCGCCAATCCAAAACACCAAAATTTTCCCAGTCAAAGCATTACAGTTGGAACCTCTAGTAAACGACCACCTCCTGTAAGCGATCGCGACCACTTTTTGGGCCTGACGGTTAATGATTTTCCACTCTTTTCAACCTCTTGTAAGCGACTACTTGACACATTCTCTGATCTCTATGTTCGCTGTGTGCACCATGCTACTAAAGGTATACGAAGAACTGACAACATGGGACTACACATGGCGTAACTTAGACAATGCATGCAATAAATTATCTTCCATAAAGTAGATGTGCCCGGACCTCTACTCGGAAGAGGCCCCCTGTGGTTAGATTCTTGTAAACGACCACCTCCCGTAAGCGACCACTCAGTCTTTGCCTTTTGGGTGGTCGCTTACTCATTAGCGTACGCTTATCATTCTCAAACCACAATGTTAAAACAACATCTCTATGTATCGAAAGAGCATAACAATGTAGTTATTTCTAAAAATTTTGCCGGAGCCCGATGAAGGGAATTGTTTGCGAGAAATTTAACTTTTTCTTCGCAGGTTTCGATGGCTTCCATTTCCTTTGATATGGCTTACAAAGGGCTTAAAATTACACAGTTGTTTAAGTTATTTAGCTACGTACTTCTACCGGTTAAGTTGTATATCAAAGAGAAGAAAGTTAACAGTGATAGATCCCGCTTTCGAGCCAAAAAACTCATAGCCAATCAGAGCAGAGTGGGTGTTTCATAATGTAAGATGAGATCAGTGAAGTAAAAGAGATTGCAATTGATTGTCGAACCTTGTACTTGAGGAACAACAAATCTTCTTCTAGAAGATCACCTTCTAAATTGTTAGTTGCAAATATCTGTGAACACAACGATGCATTCGTAAGCCTAAATAAAACAATTCTAAAATTTGCTTTAAAATCGTTCAAAAAAATTGCCTGAGGAAATAATGCCGCTTGGAAGGAATAAAAAGGTTTTTAAGATCCCAGAAAAATTTCACGAGGCATTTGTCGCAGAATACTTTTTTTTTCTCACCTTCAAAAGAGAATGTTTCTTGTACTAAACCTCCTAAATATTTCAGAATCGCCTTAGGAGAGCACTTTTTTACAAAAACTTTCTCGAACTTTCGCCCTGTGAGCGTGGCGTGCAATTATTGGCTTTATGGAACGATCCGTCTAGGTTTCGCGCGCAAGATTATGCAAAAAGTAACACTCCCACACGCGAGCGTGGGCTGATCAGACAGGAATTTTGTACTAAGCAACAGAAAACTGTCCTAATGCGCTCTTCATTCGATATGTTTTGCTATTAACTAAGATAAGAAACGAACATTCCGGCAACTGAACTGTTATTACTGACTGTCGACTTTTCAAGCTGGAAGACTAATCTTTCGCCGAAAGCCATTTTTTCCAGACTTGCTCTAAACTATCCGTAGAGAAGATAAAAGGCAGCTTAAACAACCACAATGACGATGGTTGGGAGGACGAAAAAAAAAAGTGCAAAATAACAGCTCTGGGTTAGGGATGAAGTGCTTTTAATGGGATGAACCGAGCCCTTCAACCCAAGGTCAGCACACTTTTTTTTTTGTTTTGACGTCCATAAGAGACTTCGACGTTAAACATCCTTATACATACGACGTTTTATGGAGGACATGAACGCACGACAACGAAGTTTTCCTGTCCCTAAGAAATCAACATCAAGATAATTCGCCTACAAATTGCGCGGGGATAAAGAAACACGTTAAAGTTTGAAAGAACGCAAATTCATTTATACTGACGTTTGCCCTACAGTCAACGTCTTAGTTGCTCCCTAATCTCGCTCGACAACCTCAGCCCCGTCATAAATCCGTACTACGCACGCACCAAAACAGTGTATTCAGTGAGATTTTTCAGTGGAGTTACACTTCGTTGAATACATGTGTCGACTGAACTAATCCCACGCAAATTTAGTCTAGTACTGTCCACTTTTATTCTCCACATTTAGAAGAATAAGGAGATTAAATTGAGTTTCTAAGAGCTAAAGTGTCTTTCGCCATCGTACGCTCTGCGATACTATGCTTTAGAGGCTCAAGATCCCGAAGACGACAGCTAGACTTTGTTGACTCAGATTTACAGATCGAAAACATGAGAGCCTGCCCGAATTAATCTCTTTTTTTTTTTTTCGGAACTTTTTTAAAGAATTAGGAATTTAGCAATACGAGATGTTATTCTTTTTAACCTGTTTCTTTATAATGTCAGAGACGGATAATTTTCTTTTGTCATGACTTAACTGAAAACGCTGGACTGCCTGCAAGAGTTATTGCCGGATCGCATCTGAGCCGCAGGGAATGTATTTGGGAAATCGTTACTGACAAAGTGATTGCGTTTTTATGATTTATATAATTGTCAGTGTTGTATAGTGGTTAATTCTTACTTCAAATATTTCTGTAAATTATGTACATATATTTAAAGTTGAATAAAATTGTTATTATTATCATTATTATTTTAAAAAAAGAAACTTTCTTTATGGTAGTGAACAAGCTGTAACATTGAAATTTTTCCATGCACTAAAAGACTTGTCTGATAAAAGGGCATTTCGAGGTGCTAACAACAATTGCTTTAATCCTATTAGAGAACAACCCATGTCTCCGGTTTAGAAAAGAAATTAGTTGTGTCTAACAATAGTTAACTGTAGTCACGAAAAGTGTGCTAGTGACATAATCTTGGGGAAGTATCGTTTCAAAAAGCTGAAACATGTAACTGCGTCTTCTCTTACTGGGACAAGCAAAAAATTAGCAGAAAAAATTATTTTATTTTTAGTCAGCGATTACAGTCGTTCGTGTGAAAGTTAATCAGTTTAGCGTAGATTAAGGGGTTTTATCCAGGTGACTAAAGTTTCAGATGTTTAAAGGTTTATCGCAATGAAAGCTCGAAAGAAAATCCTAGCACATTTCACGAAAAGCGCACGGTTACAAATATAAGCTTCCCCACCTGTGAAAATAATGTCGTATGTTGTGATAACAAATCAACAAATACTTAAATACGATTGTAGTGACAAGGCTCGTGATTTTTTAGCTTTCCAATTCAGTACTCTTATGTCTCAGTGATACTATAGGTCTTTCTTGAATGCAAGTAATGTGAAATGTGTTTTGCTTGCAATGGGAAAGTCTCGTGTTATGACAGGGGCACAGCGAATGTCAACTGGCCCCTTTCTTGCGCCTCTTTGGTTAATTCACTAGCAAGAAAACTTTGAAACTGTATTTGTTGTTGAAGATAAAAGGTACAATTATCTTTTCAATACTGGAAAAGACAGACTATCAACCGCCTATAGTAAAATGAAGAAAGATTTGTAACACCGAAAAACTTCATTTGCTTCTTGCAATTGCTCAGTGAGTTAATCATGTGTTCGATTCAAATTTACCGCAACAAAAATGCCGAACAGGAAAAAATCATGCCATGTTCCTCAAATAGAAGCGTGGTATTACTTTAAAATAATCAAAACAAACTTCCTCATACCATAATCGGCTTGGCATATTGAATGTTAATCAACTTATCATGAGAATTATCGGGGACATAATTAACTAGTCTTGCTCACTTCAAGGATGGACAAGTATCTGTCATTTTCAACACTACTTTTTGCAGCAAAAACGAAACGCGCCTTGAACACTTAAAAAGTCTTTCTTAGGCTGCAAGCTATGAGTTCCGACTGATGTGGGTTAATATAAGAATAAAAAAGCAAAAAATGTGAAAATAACAAAAGACTCGAACCCTGAATACTTTCTCAAACTGCCTCTTTCTTTTCCCAGTGGGAAACATACGTGAGGCCGAGCGGATCGAATTCTTTTCATGTGAAGAAATTCTTAGGCCAAGAGTTCTGTCCTTGGCTTATCAGAACACGCTTATGCAATCTTCTACCACAAGATATCCATAGATAAGAGCGATAAACGAGAGATTTTAAGTAGTTTTAAATGAGGAGGGTATGGGGTATGCCGGCAATTTCCCTTATCAATTTCTTTCACGCAGGGAACGAAATCCGCCCTTATAAGGAAAAATCACAATCTTTGATCTCGACAACTGAAAAACCGGCTCATTTTTTTAACGAAAAACAATGAGCCACTTTTGTTCTTTGGGTTGTCTTTAATTATCTTTGACTGGAAAATCTTGACGGTCCTTATAATTAAGTCAGTGAATCAGAAAAGCACTCGGTTTTCCTGAAATATGGTTCACGTTTGCATCCAACAGTCAACGCCATATGCGGGTTGAGTGTGTTGTCCTTTCTCCGGAATCCTTGCGCCGGTTTTCTCCATATACTTCGGTGTTTCCTCTCCTCAAAACTTAAAACTTCAACACTCAAATAATTCGTTCTGGATTGCACGAAAACGATCACAGAGCGAGGACTAACCGTGCTCTACGATGTCAAATTTTCGTGAATCTTTATTCCAGCCAAGGACAGTTGAAGCCAGTCGCACTTATAGTTATAAACAATTTAACTTTCGCGGATTGTCAAGGAGGAAAGAGACGGTTGTTTTGCGGAAGCTAGGTAAAACATAATTTTGAAGGTAATGCCATACCAGCCGTCGTTATGTCTTGACAAAAAAAAATTTGGTAAACATAAATAAGTCAGTCTTTTTTCCAGGTGACGATTCAAAACACTTGGTCAAACTATAAACGTTCACAGTCGAAATCAAGCTACTTCTCGGTCAAAATTGGTCATTTTCGGACAACCTCTGATCCACATGGTAATTTTGCGTGATATTCAGCTAGAAAGACTACCCGGATTGTTTAATTTTTAATGCTAACATGACAAGGAATTTCGACACACCCTACTTGCACAAGATGAAAAAAGCTAAACAAAAACCACTAAACTGCACGAAAGGTTAATTTGACAACAAGTCAAAAATAGAAATTCATTTTGAAACACTAAGTACTGTTGTCATCAGATTTTTACGCTTAATTGATGCAATTTCCCCACCCGCATTTTATGCACGAAATGTCTGCGTTGTTGTTGTCGTTGTTTTGTTTTTTGTTTTTTTCCTCTCCTGGCCCACATGTAATCCATTTGTGAGTATCTGGTGGAAAGACAGTATTCAACACGACGTTCAGGCAAACTGACCTTAACTTCTTTCATTGAGTTTCAGCACGAAATCTTTTCGGTGAGAAACAGGCTGTTCGTATAGCTCCGTTTGACAGTTCATGACAGTTCATGACCGCTTTGGAAAGAAGTAAAAGAATTCAATCATTCTAAACCGCAATTTTTCAACCAATAAACTTAATTATTTAAGCTCAGAAAACATGTTTAATCTTTACAACCAAGGATAACAGTATTCTGAATCCAGCAATATTACTTACAACTGACTCATTTGAGGCACCCGTCTATTCATAATTTTAGGAAAGGCATTGAATCGATACGTTTAAGCCGGAAAAACGACGTTATTTAGATCGAGAAAGTGGGGGACATACAGAATGCAAACAATGTCGGCCTTGGAGACAAAAACAACCATAAACTATGACAGCAAAGAATCACTAATGAAAAATGGCGTCGGGATTCTGACAGCATCCAACATTGCTTTACTTTTTTCCAAATTGTATCACGCGCAGTAATCGAGTAGTCAAACAAATATTAATGAGATTTCGTCTCTCGGAATTAGGTTTTAACAGAGATAACATAATGAACTTTCAAAAGCCACTTCATAGTTATCCAGTGATCTCGTTAGCTAAATTTTGCCTTTCTTAGTAAAGCTTACGACTCAGGAATTAAATATACAATTTTTAGATCAGGAAATAAGCATCTGTTTGCCTTGCTTTGAAAAAAAAGCCACTTCACCTTAAAAATTAAGTGGAGGAGGGCAAACCTTGGTGTTTGAACCGAGTTTGTTATATTTTTATATTATTTTTTAACCTGTGATCTGGCGTTTTTTTCAGTTTAATTCTGAGGAGCGAAAGTTGAGGAAAAAGAAAAGAACGTTTGATCGCAGGATTGTATATTTTGGTCTAGTCAAATAATAAGCCAAACGTTACTCTAAAACAAATTATAAGCAGTTCTCGTTCCTTGGTAAACCTAAATCGCCCAAGAGACATACAAAAACCAGCTTGTTTGGAAAATAGTAGAATAAACGGAGAGAGAAAAAAAGAAATGTTGAATATCAAGATGAAAACTCGATTCGACCCCGGCGTAGTATTTATCAGTATGTTCTATAGCAAAAACGGAGCGAAAAAGTTGCCCTCCAAAATTCACCCCTATAGTCGTTGTATTTCCCCAAGCAAAAATTTAAAGTGCAGCACAATGCGTGCAGTATCTAATCGAAGGCTTGGGGTGGCGCCAGGGGGATTGCGCCAAACAGCGATTTTATGTAATCCACTCGACCCATGCAACGCCTCCACTTCAGCCCTTTGTAAAATGTAGATCATAAATCTTTTTAACTCACCTATTTCTAACAGGAAGCTGACTTTTTGCGCGCCATCATCAACTATCAATCCAAGCTCGTCACTAGCCTCGCCCCTGACCACGTGCCGATAAGACATTCGGGAAGTCTCAACATCCCGGACATTGAATGCGTCACTTTGTTGCACTTCCTGGCCATCTTTGAGGAAGATACCATAACGGGGCACAGTCATCAGCGTAAACGATATTTTGCTTCTAGGAGTGTCTTCATCTAACACGGTTAAATGTTCCCTTCCAAGAATTGTTTCACTGAATTCTCGTACTTTTAGCGGTGTCACAACTGGCCTAGGGGCTTGGTTATTAACCGGTTTCAGGGCAATACGGAAGGTTTGGTCTTTGATCGTATTACCCGACGGGTCCGATACAGAAAAGTCGAACTGGGCATATCTAGTTTTGGTTCCGAGTTCTAAGTTAGGTGATTTAAAGGTTACTTTTTTATGCCGCACTTGAAGCTGTGTGAATTTCGAAGCTTTTTCGTTAGTGTCGGAAAACAGGATTTCTCCCGCGAAAGACGTGATGTTCGGGCTATCATTGATGAAGTACGGTTCTTTCGTAATAAAAAACATAAGATCATCGTCGTTAGAATCTCTATCTGCGTAGCGCAACACCTCCTGACTGAGCGCTATCTGTCCATATTCGTCAGCGGTTGACTCCATTAGAGAGCCAGGAAACGGCGATGGAGGAAGATCATCAATTTGACGGATAGTGACTCGGAACGTTTTAATCGGAGACACGTTTGGGACTTCTGCCTGATCAGACAAGACAAACGCGATTTCATCATGAAAATACTCCCCTCCAAGATGTCGGTAGTAAAGCCTTCTGTTTGTTATATCATACTGAGAGAACTGAGTCACGTTCTGTTCAAAGAAGCCATCTTGTTGTAGAATCCACCTGTCGGCATCTCCCTCCGGTGGAGTTTTTGTCCTTAAGCACAAAACACCGACCTTGTTTGCTGAATATAGCGCAGAGCGTGCGTCGCGCTGGAAGTTCGGAATTGCGACGACTCTAAACAGAATCTTATTGTCTTCAGAGTCAATATCAGTCGCACTTAACATATATTGGTCGATCACTGCAATATCCCCTTCGTCCAATACTAGGCCTGTATTGCGAACAAGTGTCGGTGCAGTATCGTCCACAGGACCTATTGTAATTGGGAACAAAAACTTTACCTCGTTTTTGCCATCGGTCATACGGAAAATTATATTGTCACTGTATGAGTCCGAATTGTCGTGGTGATAGGTTATAACAGGTATTTCCAAATCGGTCGCCATAAAAGTGTCTATCTTATGATGCTTGATTCTAAGCTCACCGTGTCGTAGACCGCTAATTGCTTGCAGCTTAACGTCGTTAAAGTTGTCTTTATCTGAGATGGCCAGATTGAACTGATCTGTAATCGTGCGTGACTGGCCCTCGAATAAACTCAGACCGGCGTTTTTTGTGATGAAGGGTGCTTTGTTGTTGGTCGGCTTCACCATGATCAGAAGTGTAATTGGTTCAGATTTAGCGCCTTCTGTGTCAACTGCCTCCAAAACCACACTAAACATACGCAGTTGGTCGGACTGTGCAGAGGGTGGCTTGTACGCAATCTTAAGCTGCGCGATATCTCTTTGATAAAATGCAGTGAGCGGCTGATAAGGGTCATCTGTGTTTATCAAGGAACCTTCGCGTGATTGCAACGCCTGAGTGATGTTAAAAATTATCTCACCGGCTTCGGTTTCAGTATCAGAGGCAGCTAAAATGTCAGATGTTATCGGCGCGATTGAGTACTGACTCACCTCGACGGAATGAGAAGCTTCGAAGGAAGCCACGGGTCTCTGATTCGAGCGCGCACCCATTATTCGCACAATGATCTGAAAATACTCCCTTGTGATACTGTCAGTGTTCGGATCAATCATCTCTACGACCAAGGGAATAAAATCTTTGTTTGACGAAGAGCGTTTGGTGTGTTGATAAGAAATATTGGACCGTAAAAACTCACCGCATTCGAACTGTGCGGAGGTCCCGTTGCCTTTCGTCACGTTAACAAGCTCACCGTAGCGCGGAATCACTCCACTTTTGATATCAAGCAGAGTTACGGAACATATCTTGGTCGGGTCCTGTTTGAAGGCGAGGACGTCGCCGTTTATTGTGGACGTGCCACCGATTTCCTCCACCGTGATGGGTCGATTGAGTTTGACGATTTCCATATCTGTGAACAAAACTGTCACATGAAGATTGAGGGGAATCAAACGAGTCTCGTTGTCGGTGTCGACACGAATTTGCAGCTTAACAAAATCCTGGAGAAAAAACATGGACCCCAAGTGAGAGTACTGAACGTCACCGAGCGAGAAATCGCACGGGAACACATCGGGCGCTAGAAAACCGACTCGCTGCGACAAGGGGTCACTTCGTAAGACGACAACCTCACAAATCGCTCCTTCGGGAAAAGTGATTTGGAGATCGTGAACCGGATCCACAAACACCGATCGCCCTAATTCCACTCTTATTGGAGATAACTTGGCCACATGTACAGATCCAGAGCAATAAAAGACAAGTTCGAGAAAACAGACAACACACACCAGGCTCGTGGCGAAGCACATTGTTTCAAATCCTCGCCGATGCTGAGATGTTTTCAGTAGGCCTCGGTAGATTGACCCAGTCCGGCTGCTGTACCTTCACTGCGTATCCTGCGGTATAAAAACGTGCGTCGATCACTTTATAAAGTTCTCTCTCCAAATGATTCTACACAGGGTTAATGGTGTTACCGGAAACCAGCGCGGACAAAAGTTTATTATATCTGCATATCAGCGCTCAGAAAGATTCAATTTACACCTTTATCTAACCGACCACAAATTGACACTGTGATTCGATGCGCACTCGAAGCGTACGATATTTGCAAAATATTATGCAAGTTTGTTTGTGCCACCTGGCTTTGGAACAGTATGTACCCGTGCCCCAAGTTCAAATTAAAATTGTTACAGGGAGAATATAGCTTAAGAAACGGAAATACTTTCAGGATATATCGAGTTTAGCCGAGGTTAGCAGATGTCTGGCAAAGTTCACGGGCTGTCACGCTCTTATTAGCATTAGAGTTGAGAAACGAGTTTTCAACTTTCTTTGTATTCGCACTGTGAGACCAACAAATAAGGCAGTCAATTAGGCGGCGATTAAATCCCCTTGATTCCCGAAATTTCATTCTGATTTTTCTCGACGTCGGCACACGCTGTTAGATATGGCAAGCATCTGGTAAGCAGATTGAAGAAGTACGAGAAGATAAGATCCTTAAGCCCAGCTTAAAAACACAATAAAAATATATGATATTTTCCATTGTTTGAAAATGCTTTGTTGTGATGTCGATCAAGGGACAAGTAAAAACCATCCATGTAAAGTATTTAATTAATGTGCCGTCTAAATCGCGATATACACAAAGTGTTTGCGGAAATCAGCCTCGTTGCGCCTAATTGTTTGCAGTGTGTTTGTTCTTCCCACGGCAAATGCTGACTAAAATCCACACATCTTTCTTTCATTATCGCCACGGGAAACATCCTAATTTGACAAACTAAAAGAACAAAACCACGGTTGGACATGTACAGTAACAAAAAACGTTTGCCAAAACAGACGCGTCAAGCACTTTCCGGATCCTCACGGCTCACTGCATCTCTTGATTTATTAAGCCATCGGGGCAGGAAGAACGATTTTTTTTTTGTGAAGGCATTTCACGACTTACAGCGACCGTGTACGTACTTATACAACTTTGGCATTATATGGCGTCAATTAATGAATTTTCCTTAATCTTTCTTGCTAATGAGCTTGTCTGTACGTCCAACAACTTGCAAGGAGATTTGTCAAGAGTAATAGACGGGTTTTGCGCAGTTAATACTCCATAAACAGCAATAACGTGTGGGGAGACCCTTAAGACACATGATCCTCAAATTTTATAGGGGTATATTAAAAGAGGTTGTTAAAACACCCGGCAAGGTTGCAAAGAGAGCAGAGATTCCTCTCTAGCTTTCGTGACCATATAAAAAGCTTTACAGAAAACAAAAACTTGACGATATTGGTAAAGCGTGCATGCGTGAAGCCAGGTGCTGAGCTCGGGGCAGTTTTCCTGCGGGCGTGGGCACTGTACTATTTTTTGCCAAAAGGCAACCCTCTCTAGTTTCTCCAATAAACGTTTATACGGCACGAATTTCGACTCAGATCATTTACCAGAACATAAACAATAGCATGCTAACCCACCTTTTACCGGAATGGCTGCCACCCACAATCAAACTTGTACCGCTGTGAAGTTAAAGATCGTCAGGACCTATTAAAGTAACGAAACAGTAAACGTCAGTGTCACTTTTCACGTATAAACCTTTCCTCACTGAGAAATGCAGACGCTCTTTTATTGAATGACTTTTTCATTCGCAGTACTTAATTCAATCAAAGAAGTTTCTAATATCAGTATCTTGTGTCTGTTTGTCCGTTGTAGTTCGAACTGTTTTATATCACTTAGTTCTTTAAATGTTTTAAATACGTCCTTGAGAGAAAAAATTCTTAACGGTGACATAAAGCAAAGCAAGTCAAAACCTGACTTTTGAAAAGCGCAGTAAATTTACGTCAAACTACGTTAAGTCACAAATCATAGACCAAACGTCATGTAATGAAGAACTTAAAAATAGGCCAAAAATTGCGAACATTTTAAGCGAAACAGAAGAATTTTTGTTCATTCTATCTCCTCTCATTGTCGCTGAGAAACTGAAGGATGGTGGAGTGCTTCATTTCACTGAAATAACTCTCTAATCTAAATTCAGACATAGTGCCCGGGGTCAAAGGAACAAGTCTCGAGTTGCCCACAAATTAATGAGTTGGTTTACAAACCTCGATAGCAATGCAAGAAGGTTAAAGAAAATCACTGGTTTCGATTCCACTTACCTGTGTGGTGAGTAAAAAGTAGAGAGCGAAACGAAATTCGACCTGTTTTGGCGTTGGTTAATGCAGTGCCTTTCCGCAATTGAGCTACTGTGTTTAGAGTGACCCCTGTTTAAATACTAGCTAAGAAAACAACATCTCCTCTCTAAGTGCCTTTTAGGATTTGAGAGTCTAGCTGTTTACGAATTAGTACGAATAGCCGGAAAACTTATCAAGGTCGCGAGCTGAGGACGACAACACGAAAGTCTGACGACCTCATTGCACGTCGGCTAGCTCGACATGATAAAAATGCCTTTCTGCTAAAATTTTCAGGGGCTTTCGTTAGCAATAAAAACGAATGTCGGCGCACATCCAAGATGCAATGTTGACAAGGCTTAGACTGAAAGCAACAAAGAAGGTCTCTGTTGGAACAACTGACTACTTTTAGTTCAATATCCGCGACTTTCGCGAGCATTTGCGAAACTCTGAACAGAGTCACTTGAAGTTAGGTACTGGCACAGTATCATTGTTAGTATGCGCGCGCAAGTTTTAGTAGTGTAACACTGAAACTCGGTCGTAATACAGAACCAACAACAGTATCATTCCCCTGACATTCATGGTTGGTGTATTTTTTTTCTCTCTCACTCTCTCTTGTAAACAAGAACCATGGTATCAACCACTAGACGTTTAATGCATGTGCTCTTTTTACGCGAAGAAGCATTTCGTCAGTTCCTGGTTATATAACATATTCTCAAATATTCCCACTCCTGGCCTTGGTTTAACGACCTCTGGATCCATTATGTCTCATGAAAACGTAGGTAAACTCGGGATAGGATATCAAAGAAAGAAGCTTACACGATGAGAAGTATCAAAGTTTAAAAAGTTTCGCTTTTTGTTTCTAGAATGATCGCTGTCGGTTAGACAAAAAAAGGTTCCGGGCCTTCTTCCGACTCAATTCCTCCTATGATTTTACTATTTAACAGTGCTCATCGTGTTCCGGATTTATCTATCCCTTTAAACCTATGAACGTACTTAATTCATTGACATTTTCGTACTTTGCGTTCAACAGTCAACCGATTCTTTCAATCCATTGGCCACGTCGATCAGTAAAGTTCCAAACCAACAAGCGCTTGTCGAGGTCAGTTCCAAATTTCAGTTGTTTCAAAAAGCAGGTTGTTGCGACTTTCTTTACAGCGGGGAGCGGGTTTACGCTAGTCAAAACAACCCCCTCAAGGAAGTCTGCTAAAAAAAAAACGAGCTCCGATATCATTTACGACCCGGAAGCCGGGTCAAGTTCTGCAGAAGAAAGGAAGACTATTTTTATTCTAATTTCATCTCAGTGTTTTTGCACTGATTAAGTGCCATCATTCATGTCATTAATCATAGTGATGCGTGCCAATTTTGGGTGCTTCTTGAATGCTCAATAACGAAAAATTATTTTAAAATAATAATAATAATAAACTTAAACTGTCTGGAAAAGAATATTTGCCAGCCTGTTGCCCTGTTCAACAGTTAACTGAAGAAATTCTTTTTTAACGATTTAGAGATTCAGGGAAGTAGTGCATCCGCATAGCGGTTCTTCGTCTACCATTCCTGGTCGAATTGGAATTCGGAAAAGTTTATCTTGGACCGGGTCTTTGAGAGGAGGGGGAAACCGGAATGCCCAGACGAAAACCTCTCGGAGCAAGGGAGAGAACTAACAACAAACTTAACCCACATATGACATCGACGCCGGCCGTTGAACTCCGGGTAACATCATTGGCAGCTTCATTCCCTCTCGGGGTTGGAGGCGAGTGTTCTCTCGATGTGGAGTTTATGGATAAAATCCTAACTTTCGATTATATATTCAAATTCATACTTGGCTCCGAGGCTTGGGGGAATAAAGCAAAAGAAATACATTACTGTCAGGGGCACCCAACAAGAATATAGTTCAACACTACTTAAACATAGCATTGTTGAAAGTATTTTAGTATTCAAACGTTAGATATTGGCATATTTTTATCCCCTAAGAAATTTTTCATCTGTTCGGATTTCCTAGCTGGACGTCAAGTGATCCGAAAATTATAGGCGTCAAAACTTACCTTTTCGAAAATTTCAGCCAGAAAAAAGGCTCCTGAAAATTCTAGGTGACCTTTTTAGGGTAAAAATCCGTTAAAAAATGGGAAATTATACCATTTTTCCAAAATCCCAGGAGAGGCAGGCAAGCAAGAAATTTTACAACAAATGTTCCGAAAATTCTAGATCTCAAATCGTCTTCCGAACAGATATCTTCCAAAAATTGACGTTGGGTGCCCCTGAACTGTGGCTGAGCCTCACGACTGTTTTTTTATGTTTTATTCTCCTAAGCCTCGGCGCCAAGCATGAATTTTAATACTGTGATATCGAAGTTTGTCTATCGGCTCCTGTTAAGGCTTATCTCTTAAACTCCTAGTAGGAAAAGTCGGCTAAGGCAAACTTTTCCTTGGGCGTGTACACGAAATTACATGTGTGCAAGGACTAGTCAAATTTAACCTCTTACATGGTAGTATTTAGATTGTACATAGCGTATATATAATTAAGTCTAACTTTCGATTCTTCTGGGCAGGATCCCACAGTGTGACCTTTCACATTAAAAGCTGTTGAGCAGTACTTTCACATGATTTTTTGACTATTTGTTTTGGATGTAATTCAAACTTTTGAGTTATAGACGAAATCCTCCGACTGTGACCATTCAAATGATATGATACCTCTTCAGCAGTTTTCTTCGCTTGGCCGTTCGCCGACTTTTCCCTTCCCGAAAAGAAAAGTACACCTGATACCAGCTGGTCAGGCCGTTTTGAGTCTGTGCCGGGATGCATTCTTCAGGGGTGACCATTCTAATGAAATCTTTACAATATTGCTCGCACATGGTTCCGTTTGTTTTGCGGCATATTCTAAATTATAATTTTCTTACATTTTGATTTGGCGCAGTTTTGAGAAAAGTAGGACCAGAGGCGGAAGGAAGGAAGAAGAAGTTGTATGTATTCAAATCATGCACAGGAGAGGGTTTGTCTCGTCACGAAAAACGGCCATGAGGAGGAAAAGAAGGGTTGCCGACATAAAACGAAAACAAAGAGTAAACGAGACAATCGAGACAATTACTTCGATTCAGTTTTTCAAATTCGTATGGTAAAAATGTGATGAACAACAAACAGCCGCATAAACCGCAAAGTGTAAGGTTTCCATTTAACTATTCAACCTACTCAAACCAAGAGTGCCTTTCATTTGATCGCTTACAAATCCGGAAATACCGAGATGAAGCAATTAATGAAACGCACAAATTTTACGGGAAATATTATTAAGAAAACTTTGATATACCTCGCCAGGAGTCTGCAAAATCTGAACATTCCTAGGGATTT